TATTCCCCAAAGTAATGTATTGATCTTTGTAAAATGATTGAGGTGCAACAGGGAGAGCCCTACATACAAACAGTTCTACAAAATTATAGTGTAGGTGTGTGAAGAACTGCAGACAGCACAGACTTCAGGAAGATTGACTGTGGGGTCTTAAACCAGGCATAGCTTTTCACATGATGACATTATGCAAAATTTGCAAAGACCATACAAACTCTTCTAAACTCTTTTTGAACCAAGTTACTAGACTCTGAATAACTGATTATATGTAAATTGCAGTGAAGAAACACACTTTTTCAGTACTTTACTGCATTGCAATATAACCTTATTTTACTGTGTTGTGATAACATGACAATTTGTTAACCATTGTGTTTTCATCAGCATTGTAGAACAGGATTTCAGTTTTATCAGTCTGAARGTTGGGGTTTTGTTCTTCATTTTCAAATAGTGAAGGTTGCTCTTTTGTTTGCTACTCTCCCAGTTTCACAGTGAGATGAAAACAAGTCCTTTTTCCTCTCTGCTCTGAGTCTGGAGAGTTGTAAGCAGTCATGTTCTGGAAAATCTGCAGTCAGTTCATAACTCACAACTGAATTTCAATTTAAAATCTGRTATTTTTTAATCTAGATCCAGTTTCTAGATTAGGATAATGCTGTGGCATGTTTGTTTAAAACCTGTTTTAGACACAATAGAATGATGATTTTTGACTGAGAGAGAATTTTTTGTATAAGGTTTTCAGTGACTTGGAAGGGGAAACCTGAGAACAGATACCAAGTTGTACTGTGTCTGAGGGAAATTGTGCCACTTAAGTAAAAGAAAAAGTTATTTTCCTGAGATGCCTGCAGAGGTGCWGTAAACTCAGTCATGAAGCAAGACATGAAAACTGTCCTGATAAAACCGAGTTCTTATAAAACCAAATTTCTGATAACCTGATTGCTTATGTACCATGGAARACTTAAATTCCCATGGAAACTGAACTGGAAAATGCAGCCTTGCTKTTAATGATGATTATGTTTTCAACTGTAACTTTTCACAAAAAATGGACACTCAAACCACCAATTTTGTCATTTTTATTATTAATAGGCAGCTGATATTATTATTAGTAATAATATTGATATATTTGCTTTCATTATCTTTTTGAGAGAAGGCTATCAGGATATGATTGTTGCTGAATGTACCTGAAATTCTTTCGTTTCTGATGCAAAGTGGAGGAGTTGAATTGCTTCAAGTGAAACAAGTGCTCTCATCATGAGTTTGCTTCTTTGATCAGGAGATCAGACTGCCTGTTCCCACGGGATGGCGCTCGGGATGTACTGGTTGAAAACMGCTTCCTGAAACCACACTGGCTCTTGTTGAGAAACTGCCTGCAAACSTCACAATTTGTGTAGTCTCTTAAAAATTGTAGTTTCAGATTTTTGATCTCCTATGTAAAGGGAAATTTCTCTTAGGAGTTTATAGTTTAATATGGATTTTGTTCTGGAGCCTGTTTGGTTTTTTTTTGGTTTTTTTTTTGTTTGTTTTTTTTTATTTCATTATTGTCCACTGTGATTGTATTGAGTTATTAGCAATTTCTGTGCAAGGATCCGGACACTGTGTGTGAGGAAAGGTGTATTTCCCTTTTCATTGTCTCCTAAAGGACTTATGCTTGCATAGGAACACTTGATTTTCTCTGTGTGAAACTGGGTTCATGGCTCATTAGTCTGCCCTCACAGAAAACTCAGTATTCAAATAAAATTGTAGCCCTTTATTCTTGATTGCAGATGTTAGCATTATGTATTGCTGATAGATAAAAATGGGAATTTAGACAATGATTTGTGTAATTACTCATAAAAAGTCATTAAACTTACCAGAAAGTGTGAAAACATGAACAGCAAGGAATAATGAAGTTTAAGGCAGTATCTGTTAAACAAATAATAATAGTAGTACCTTTCAATTTATTTATTTTTATTGTTGTTACGGCTGTTAATGCATTTTTTTAACTTGTCAATCCATGAAAGAGGTATAATCTCCTCACAAATAGTTGGCTGCCACTATCTGAAAATCCCAACACACAACTCAAGTAGCCTACTATTAACAGAAGCCACAAAGTGTAGCAGTAATAAGGTACCATTATCTCTGCGTGTGCACAGGAATTAACAGCTCTTGCAAATGTAGATAATCCACCTGCTCATTTCAAGGAGGTTGGAAAGCTAAAAATAGTTTAGCTGAACCTGAGTTCAGCTGTAATAGAGTCAATACTCTCAAGATGAGTACTGCCCCAAGAAACAATGTATATTCAAAACACAGATTTAACTAATGTGGAACGRGCCCCTCTGTTGCAAAGACAGCACACGACTTTCATCTCTGCAGGCAGACTTGGCCAAAAGATCTTTACGTTGCTCTGTGTGATCCTGTGAAGGCTGGGATTTTTTTCGGGGTCGAGAGAAGTTGTCAAATTGCTGTTGTCAGTATGGATTCTTTATATGAACTAGTGGTGCTTTCCATGTGTGTATGTGCATTGCTACTCCAGTTAAACTGATGAGCAGTCAAAGCTAAGCTGATCTAGCTAAAAAGCCCCCAYAGAATGTGTCTACATAGAATGGGATTTTCTTCTTTTCCTTGCAGACCTGACCTCAAGGTAAACTGTGCTCAATCTGCATCAACACTGCYAGAGGAAAGCCACACCCCTGGGGCAGAGCTGTAATCCCAAACCAGGTGTTTTGGTAGAYGAGAGTAGATTTTTGGAGGTACCAATTAAATAAATGGGGGTAATTCAAGTAAAGAGGGATTCCAGTAATTAGCTTAGACTAGAAACCTAGCTGTAAATAGCTCAGGTTTAATGAGATGTATCTTCACTAAACTGTATTCTCATAAAATACAAGTGCACAGTTTAGCTGTGCTTTTTGTCCTGTGTATCACATAAGTTATGATCACATAAGTTGTTTCTTTCTTGGGTACAAATTGATGGACAGATTGATTCAGCAACAATTTTCTGATTTTTTTTTTTTGTAGTAGTAGTAGTTTAAGTGATTTGTGAGTATTGGTCATTGACAGATCGCTGATTGGGGTGTAATACTGATATTTGTAATGAGTTGTTGAGTGACATGCAAGATGTGTCTGAAAAAAGGCCTCTTCTTGCAGATTTGAAGAAACACATTATGATAGAGATTTTTTAATTGAAAAGGTGAGATGCACCAGTCTTTTACATGTATGTAAGAGCATATCATATTGTAGAATTAAAGTGAAAGCACATTGATTWGAGATCTTGCTCTTGATCATTGAACAGCTTTGGCAGAAAAAAGCTTTTTATTCAGCAAAAGTTGGTTGTTTGGGAGAAGAATTTCAGCATGAAACCATGGTTCCCCTTCTGTTGTAGCTCTCAAATTTCTGTTTTTCCTTCAAATTCTGATTTTCTAAAATGGCTTTCTGCATCCTGAAGGTGAGCTATAAAGCAATAAGTTAGTTGCATAATTGATTGAATTGCAAATAACTGCAGACAAAAATTGTCCAGAACGCTGTGAGAGTGCTGAACACTACATTACACTTCACTGTGTAAGAGATGAGAACTGACATTATGAACACGACGTGTCAATCCATTAAAAGCTGTTTGGTGGGTAGGGTTTGTGRGGGAGTGGGCAGAGCTAACATTTCCTGTGAGAACTGCAGGTAATTGGTTCATCCATAAGCAGAGCTGCTGCAGCTGCTCCTGTTTKTGTATTTCCAAAGGAATGGAAGAGAGAACACAGGTTTTAGTCAGTGGCTGGTCCTGTCACAGCATGACAGCCTAAGGCAGACAGGAATAATTTCCTCTCTGAGAATTGCTCCAAATCATCYTCCTAGACCTGCTGAGATGTGCCTGCCACTCTGGTCCCAGGCTGAATTCTTCACAGCCTCCTTCTGGATGGTTTTCCACAATTATGCTCCGTTTCAAAGAACTTGTCATTTCTAAAACCACCTAATTCCATTTTATTTCTTGGACTTGGCTGAAGCCCCAAAAAAACTATCTRATGATTCAATACTTACCTTAGCAGGCAGCAGGGAGAGAACATTTCCAGAGGGCAGTTARCATTATAGGTGGAACCAGGAAACTGCTTTGGGAAATGCAATTTCTCTCTGTCTCTCTCCAGGGACTGTAGTGAAAATCAGGGTAAATTGGGTCCTCATCAGGCAGCACARCTCCAGAAAATGAATTAGTGTTTACGTGAGCATTAGTTTATAGACCAGCTATGAGATATTCTCAGATCTTCAGCAAGGGCAACTATCCCCCTTTCCACATTATTAAATGCTGGGCAGGCACAGCACTAAACAGATTTACAAAAAGACTTTGCTTTTTTTCTCCTCAGCTCCCAGAGTGAGGGATTTGTGATCAAGTCTGTAACACCCACTGTACTTAACTGACCCTTAAAGTGTTTCCCAGCTTCAAGGATCCAGGAGTCAGAACAGAAGGTGCTCTTGAAGACTGAACTTGTTCCAAGGAGGTTGGCATTTGAAAAAATAGTCATCTCTGTAGACTGGGAAAGCCGACAATCTTAAACAGCATCATRTAACAAAAAAGAGGTTTTTCAAAACTTGTTTCCAGCAATCTTGAAGAAGAACATGGATAATGCTCAAGACCAAGCAGTCAGGGAATGAAGAACAGCTTCCAGCTGACAGATGAACACAGCTGCCAGGTTACAGGTTCTTTCATTGCCAGACTTCACCTTTATCTGCACTGTGCCTGCGAAGGATCATAGTRCTGGGAATGGGAAATGCCACTAAAGTGTATTTTATTAGTTGCACACAGATACATGAAGATTTTGATAGCTCCTTTTTAGGTAATATGAAAGTAAGCAGGAATGATGAATATAATCCAGAAAGTGTTGTTTTACTGGCATTCCTTTTTTATCAGAACACTTAGTGTTCTTTCTTTCTAGCTTCCATGCAGAGGGATCATACCTATAGTTTTCAAGGAAAAGGAAATTGATAATTGTTTTTTCTTTCTGTGCCTACACAGGAATTACGTTTTTTTTTTTTTTCTAATTTCTTTGTAGGATTTTGATGATTTATCAGAAACAGATGTAAGCAATGAAGATCAGTTCCATGATGTCAAGTCTGAACTTATGGAGGATGAACTTAAATCCAGGTTATTTCAGCTTGCTGCTAAAATGAGTGACAAGGAAACATCATCTGGTGAAGAACAAGAGTCAGAACCTGGAATAGATCCAGAAAACCAGAAGGAGAATTTGTCCTCAGAGGAAAATGGCAGAAGTATTGAGGAAGAATTAAAGAAGGTAGGTGATGGTTCGAAAGGAGTGGGGATAGTAATGTACGAGTTAGAATCCAGAAAGAGAAAATTCTGGTTAGAAAACTGAACACAGTTGCTAAAAGAAACCTGAGGTCCTTTTYACTGGTCTGAGCCTGAGCCCCTGCATCGGTAAAAGCTCAATTAAGGTGTGTGTTCCTCTCTGTGTGGAGCAGAGCCTGCAGCATCAATTCCAAGCAGGAAACTTGGCTTGTGCCACAAAACTGTTAAATGGGTAACATTAATGGAATTATGTAATTTATACTGACTGAGAATTGACTTACACTTTTTATTTTAAAAACCTCAAGTTTTTCTTTTTTTTTCTCCTTGCTAACCAACCAATTTTGTTGTTTTTTTCCATCCTTTAGCTGCTCCTCTCTTTTTAGTATCATCTAGTTCATGCTGATGACATAGATTCTTCTTTTGTGACTCTATCACAAAATATTTCGTGTTTCTTTAAAGCTTTCCAACCCTGTTATTCTGTCAGCTAATAGGCTTSTAAGAGTAGTAACATTTTCTAATGAAACTGAACTTCAGTGTCTGTTCTGTAAATGCCTGAGATGCTTCACTTGTGCCATTTCACCCTTACAATGAGATACCAGAGTTCAGTGTCACTYTACAGGACTCACCACCTCCTCTCTTCCCTTTCTGCCTCTGAATTTCTCTTCAGATCATGTGGTGTGCTTGAATTTGGTGCTATAGGGGCGCAGTGCTGCCCCTTGCCAGTCAAGCACTTATTCCTTAGATCCTCTTAGGCTTATTCCAGTCTGCTGAGTGCCTTGACTTGCCTTTTGGGGTATTACCTGCACAGCAGCTCAGCTTTGACAAGGGATGTGGCCAGCTCTCTAAAGGAATCTATTTGTCATAATTTGAAAGGTGTTTTGTTCAAATTGTATAAATAGCTAATACACCAGGAGGTGGAAGCGGGATCAAGTGATCAGGGATGATAGAGATGCTGTTCAAGTGTGCAGGAATGGTGTCAGAAAACCCAATACCCATCTGGATTCGAATCTGTCAAGGGAAGCATAGGGAAATAAAGCCTTCTAGAGGTCYATCAGCAGCAAAARGCAGATGAGGGAAAGCTGGGYTCRYTACTGCAGTGACCAGGTGACAAAGWRCATGGAAAAGGCTGTTACACAGCATTGTTTTCACATCAGTTTGCAGGTGAGATTTTCCCTCAGGAATCCCAGGCCCTTGAGACCTATGGGAAAGCCTGGAGCAATGAAGACTTATCCTTGGTAGAGGAGGATCAGGTTAGCAAATATTTCAACAAATGGGATGTGCACATGTGCATGGTGTCTGATGGGGATGCACTTACGAGACCTGAAGGAACTGGCCCGTGTCATTGTAAGGCCACTGTTGTTCATCTTTGAAAGATCGTGGCAATCTGAGACATTCAGAGCTGTGAATATTGTTTATTTTGGCTTTACCAAGACTTACAGCAGTCAAATGCAAAGGGAAGTGCAAAGTCCTGCACCTGGGARGTGATTATCTCATGCACCTCTAYTCAGTATTGGTGAGGCCATTTCAGGAATGCAGTGTCCTATTCTGGGTTCCCCAATCCAGGGGACCCATGGACACACTGAAGTGAGTCTGGTGAAGGGCCACAAAGGTGACTAAAAAATTGGGGCATCTGGCACAGGAGGAGAGGCAGAGAGAGCTGGCATTGTCCAAGAAAAGAAGAGAAGGCTTGAGAGGATCTCTTCAGTGTGTTTAAGTACCTGATGGAGGAGAGTGGGCAGTGTTTAATGTTGAAAATAAAGTGGAAATGGAGCTGTTCTCACTGAGAGCAATGGAAGCAGTAGCACAAACTGAAATATAAAAAATTCTATCCAAACAAAAAAGCTTTTTCACTGTGATGGTGTTCAAATCCTGGAAYAGGTTTCCCAGAGACATTTTAGAGTCTCTGTCCTTGGATGTAATCAAAATCTGAATGGACACAGCCCTGGGCAGTCTGGCTGTGGTTTGAGCAGAAGGGTTGGAATGGGTGATCCCCAGAGGTCCTTTCCAAATGTTTAGTAGCCTGTGACTCTTTGATTCTGAGTTATTTAGCCATGGTCTAYGCAGGAGTGTAAGTACCTTTGTTATCATGTGTGCAAATCCCTCCATGATGTACACACAACCTTTCCAAAGTGCTTGTTAGCAGTGTTTAATTTGCTTTTCTTTGGTTTGCAAAGATAAAACAGCAACATCACATTCAACAGCATTATATGGGCTAGCTGGGGTTAYAACATGGTGCAACTGAAGGCTGTAAACAGGACTTTCTGAAATGCTCCTATATAGAGAACTGAGCACAGAAAATGGTTTTGGTGTTCTTATTCATCTGCATGCATCTACAAAATAATATTGGTTGTTTTTTTCCTCTTCGAATTTTCTTGTTTCTTTAACATTTGTATGTCAGTTATTTAAAATAAAGCAAAAGTTTGTATTTTTTTCCTCAGTAAAATTTACCTAAGTTTAAAAAAAGGAGAGGGTTACCATGTTCAGCAAACAGCGAATGCTTGGAGTTCCTAACACTTTATGTGGTCCGGATTAAAAAAAAAATCCTCATCATTAGTGGTCACAATATATATTATTTTTTGCCTATAATAGAGAAACCAGAATACTCCAGTACTATTCATGGTCTAGATTTCAGCAGAATTGGCAGGGGAACTTCCTCCAGCTGTAGAGAAACAAGCACCCCGCTTTCATTGTTATTCTTGACAGTTGTCCTRTAATGTAATTTAAAATCTTTAAATGTAATTTAAAATCTTCTCACATGTATCTTACAGTGAAATACTGAAGATATATAATACTAGTTGTGGCTSTGGAGTCTAAAGTATGAAGGCACAGCTAAACTCATAAAAGGTGCAATAACTTTATGACAAGTAAATTGGCATGTGAAAGGCAGACATAGAAAAAACCTATTTTCAGGCAACTGGTAATTTTAGATACCTTCAAAAACAGAAGTCCCAATATGCTGTCTCTTTAAAAAGCCTGATTGTTGGAGAATGCACTTGTAGGGATTTACAGATCTTTCAGATTAGCACTCAGCAATCTTGGTTAGAGACAGACTTCTGRCYTGGGCATMATGTTTCAAATTAAATATGCAGAARCATAAATTCTGCACTATCTTGCTTATATTTTAGCCAGGCTGTTTGTCTCTGTTAGTMTTTAGTCTTCTGTTCTCTTAGGCTTATTCTGAAGCACTTTAGCAACTTCAGATCACTGTGAATTTTTATTTCTCATACACCTGACTTTAGAATAAGACCTTAAAAACCATGTATTGTTTTGAATCACTGGAAATTAAGTACCTGGTACTTATGAAAATCTGACCTTCACCTGTCTGCACCTTTAAACCCTTGGACTAATGTTTTTAATGGAAACTGGGAATCTCATGTAATCACACATGGATCAGATGCTTTTGAAAGGGTATTTTGTATATTAAGATCTGAAGCAGTGGTAAAAGTCATCATTTAATGGAGGGAGCTGAAGCTGTTGGGCATTTATGGGTTCCCAGTTCTCACTTCAARCTGAGCTTTTGAGTTATATGTCTGCCTTTGAGATGCAAGTTTGAATATGATGACCTTTGAGTTAATTATTTAGTTAGTCTGGGATACTTGAGGGTTTAGGTGAGTACTAATTAACACAAGTTAATTTTGTGACTTAGACTTCAATCTTCTTAGATTTTCAGCACCCTCATTTTCATTATCCCTCAGTTTGTGATTGCCTAAAATGGTCTTGTGGAGATTCACAGCTCTCATTTTAAAACAGACATAATCTTGCAGCAGACTTGGTTTTATGGAAAACATTTTGTGCTCATTAACCTACAGAAGTAGTTCATGGTCTTTAAGGGGAATGCAGAGCCCTGAAAAGTCCATTTGTCTTCATTGTGCAGTGAAAGGCCATGGTTTTCACCAAAAGCCACGCTTAGGGTAGAGTTGGCTTTCAGCCCCTCTAAACTGAAGAATAAACCAAAACTCAAATTGTGCAGCTGTTGTGTTGGTGAAACATCTTGTACTAGCACAATGATTTCCACAGCAGACAGAAAGTCTTGCTCTCTTTTTTSTTGTTTTGTTGTGACTTTTTGATTGGTTGGTTAGTTTTTGCTTTACTCCACCAAATCCTAAACTAATGCCTAAGGCAAAAAGCAAAATGTAAACTCCCTTGGAAGTATCTTAATGATACTGATCCTGAGAGTGGCAAGCATGATAAATGGGATGTATTTAGTTTGTGTTCTCTTCTCTCCATTCTCTTCTCTTTTAATGCTTTCATGARGATAAATTGACTGGGTCTTTACTTCATGGTCTGTGCCAGAACTGCATTCTAGAAAGCAATTTTGGCAGGCTGCATTTTGAATGCAGTCTATCTCTGTGACCACTTTATCAGAAACTATAGAGATACTGTTTACAAAGCTTATTAGCCCCTGACATTTTTTCTTTTTTTCTCCTTCAACTTACTACTACAATTTGCTTGAGATATACAAATGAGCAAGCAAGTTAAACTTCCATAGTATATCATAGAGTTTATCTCCCTTTCGCATTAGCTTGATGCAATGTGCTGTGTGCTTAAGGAATTCCTTTAAATCCCTTCATGCATTTGCTCCTGCTCAGAGAATCTTACAACCAAGGCTTAGTAACTTGTTTGAATTCTGCTGTTGTCTGTTGATGTTGTTACATGACACAATAGCTCTTTCCTGAACRGCAGCCTCTAAGTGAGTTTGTTAAGTAGCACAGCAGGATCCTAAGTGAAACCCTCCAAGTCTCTTGACAGTATGAATAACAGCATAAATAATCTTTTCATTAAATATTTATGCTTCCATTCTGTGGAAACGTTTTATTCTTCTTAGGTTTTATAAAGCTTTATTTTGGGGAAAGTATGTATTRTGAGTAACATTTTCGTGTGAGTTTGTGCCGTAGGCCTATATTCTTTGTTTCAAGAGAGTACAACTTTTTTTTTTTTTGCCAGATAAATTGTTCAACTACTGGTACAATGAGGTTGAAACATGTT